ACACGTGTGGACACTTAGCTGTTCCTTTTACCCCTGGCTGACTGTGCCCAGCCTCCCAGCTATCTCATGTGCCAGTCACCACCATCAGCATCTGCTGTCTCCTCCATTCAAAAGAGGCTGGAAGAGAAGTCAGTTGGATGCTTTGCAACTTCTTACATCCTTAACTCTTCTTCTGAAGTTCTGTGTTTGCCAATGTATGATGGCCACAGGAGCCAGGCAGACTGGCCCAGTGGTTTGACTAGGTCTCGTGGGATTCACAGCAACTTAGAGGGGTGCAGGCATCTGGCCACTACAGCAGTTCCTTTGGGCTTATTGGGCCCTAGTCCCCAGCTCCCACAGGGTTTGTGCCCCCAGCCACAGTGTCTCACTTCAGGAGAGAAGTCTAACTGCAGACTGCAGGCAATCAGCCACCCTACCTGCTGGGAGCCCACCCTGAGCAGGAGGCCAGCTCCCCTCCCCTCCCCACCCATAGGGTACAGGGGCTGCCCTTTGCTTGTCTGACTGGGTCATCACTTCTCTGCTGATGCCCACAGCATTATACAGCTCGATCCACACTGTGGCCAAGATGGGAGGGAAGCACCACATCCTGCTGTCTTGAAGGGGAGCACATGGAGGTGGTGGTGCCCAACACTTTGCAAAGCTGTATTGATTGTTGGTCTTTTTGCCACTGGTGTCTCCATGATGGCAGAGATGAGGTTCCTGGTTCACTCCCCTACCCAGGAGAATTGAGATGGCCTGTTGGGGTTGGGTGGGCTCTGTCTGTTTAATGAAGGAATGAATGAATGAATGAGGGATTATGCACTTGTACACATTCAAAAGAGACCATCGAATCAAGACCAGGCTGGAGACTCCAGTAGAGGGAACGGGAGGAACTTTGTGCTGACTGATCATCTTTAGTGAGCTCCTCCCTGGGCTGGAAGTGTCACCTGTAATTTCATTTGACTCTCACAATAACCCTAAGTGGGAGGTGTTTGTCTTGAGTTGGGTTCGCAGAAGTAGACATGGAGATGAATTTTTTTTGTATGACAATGATTTATTAGAAGTTATGGGGAATTTAGAAAAGAAAGACAGCAGGGGAGTGGGGACTTAGAAGAGGAACATAAAGGAAGCCAAACAAGGTGATTTTGGCTCCACCCTGCAGAGGAATTCTGGAAACAGCTGAGATCACACTCTGGAGAAGTCTCCATTAGGGAGCAAGGCAGCTGTGATTTGTTTTCGTGGCACTCTGGGTCCCTGGTTAGGGGCGTGCATTCCAAGCCACCGTGAGTGCCAAGCAGGGTTCAGGCAGCCTGAATTGGGGGTGTTGGCTGTTGGGAGTGAACACACATGCTGAGTCAGTGTAATAAAAAATGCTAACAAGATTCACAGGGACTGTGGGCAGAGCCCCCTGTAGCACTGTTGGTATTCAAATGCCTTATGGGTGTGGAAACTGCAGCTCAGAGAAGTGAAAAGTCTCACCCAGGAGCACTCAGCCAGGAAGTGGCAGAACTGGGATTCCAGTGCACTCTGCCTGCCTGCTGGAACTCTCCATAGCGTTTTCACTCTGTAGACGGAAGGGAGGACTTACCTCTACCTGCTGCAGATGTAGCTGGAGAGGAAAAGGGAAAGGGCAGCACTTAGAAGGGGAATTAGTGGTGCTGGGAGGGACATTGCCCACTGGGGTGTGAGCATTTAGGACTCTTCCCACAGAGCTGGCAGCCCTCCAGTAATTGCTGGAGTAGCGTGGGGTGATAGAGGACAGGGGGAGGCAGGCAGTCTTCCTGCTAAATGTGCTATAGCTTCTCCTTCTCTCCATCTATCTCAGCCTCTGTGCGAATGGCACCCTCTGGAAAAGGCTGCAGAAAAGCACTATTTATCTCCGTGTGGGGAAAAGAGGCTTAACAAATTAGCTGATGCTTAATTTGTGAGGAAAAGTAGGACAGAAAAGTTGACCAGTTGTCCCATGGGGTTTTCTGATCAATTGTCTCCACCAATATCTTCCCTGCATGGGTCTGATACTAGGTGGAAGTACTTCTTAGGGTGGCCAAATCTCCCACCCACTCCCTGGGGTCTCCCAGCAACTGAATCAGGTTGTCTGCAGTGCTGGCCTCTTCCAGGACAAGCAGAGAACCTCTCACCTGCACAGGTATACCCAGACCTTCAGATTCACAGAACTGCATATTCTGAAGCAGGACTCTCAGCTCCTGAAGCCAAGAGGCAGGGTCAGAGCTCTGAAACAGCACAGGATCTCAGACACAGCACAATTGCCAGTGAATTAGGATCCCTAGCAGTGGGGCCTGCGGGCCCTCTTTTTTAAAGCTCCCTTGGAGGTTCTGAAACACAGCCAGACTGGAGAATTATTGCTGAAGAATGTCAGTGCATGATAAAGCTTTACTTCTCACAAATGGTCAACCTTCTTAGATACATGACACTGTAAAGAAAGTACTGCTCACCTTCTGCTCAGGCACTTCCTGGGATGGGACGGCGCTACTCCTGAGACATCCCATTTCATCTTGAATGACTTGGAAAGTCAGAAAGTTGTCTCCTATATTGAATTGATATCTGCCTCCCTGATTATGGGAGCCATTGGCTCTAAGTCAACACTCAGAAGATGCACAGAGCAGTTCCAATCTCTCTTGCACATGACAATTTAAAGACACCTGTATTATCCCACCTCTAAGCATCCCTGATCACTTTAACTGTCCCTCTTCATGACTGGGCTATAGTGTGCATTGTCCTTCATCGAGTAGGGTGACCTGGTTAGGTCCACCTGCCAAGGGGTGGAACAAACTCTTCCCACACCCTCCTTTCCATGAGTTGAGCTAGAGGTGAGCTAGAGCCCAGCGATGTGCTTTTACATACCTTGGGAGACAGGAAATGGCAAGTGTTATCTACATTTTATGAAGGAACAGAGACCAGAGTGGTTAAGTGACAGCTGGGTGGAGGCAGTCCCCTTTGGTTTTTCCTCAAGAGTGTTGCTTTCAAACTTTATTTCCCCATTTGCCCTTCTGCTCCTGGAAACTGAGTGTAGGGCTTGAGTTTGGCCTTGTTAAACCACATGTCTTTAGATTCAGTTCAGTGTTCCAGCCACTGAGATGTTATGACATCCTCCCAGATTTGCATCTGTGCACATTTAATAAGAGTATTGCCAGTGTCCTCTACATGAGTGTCAAGGAAATGTTGAACTGTTGGCAATCGAGGTGAGCTAGAGCCCAGTGATGTTCTCAGAGCATTCTCAGCCCCCCCTGTCTCCACTTCTCCCTCCATCTCTTCATCAGTGCTTCCAGGCTTTTGAAGACCTCCCTGAAAGTCTGCGTGTTGACAGGAGAGAGGCTCTGGACGGGGTGGCTGAGACTCCACCCTGAAGTGTTCTCCTTCCTCTACCCTGACTGAAGGTCCCTTTGAGCTTTGGCTCTTCAGCCCTTGAAGCATCTCTGGAGAGAGCCGGGTTAACTGAGTTTGTAGAAAGGGGCGGAAAGTGTCTTCAGGATACAGCCTTGCAGCATACCCAGGTACATGGCTTAGCATCTCTTGGAGCCTCCTTTCTTTCCAGTGCAAAAGAGAGGCACCCTGTACATGACAGTTTGCAGGCTGCAGCACCATGCAGACCTAGGGTCACTGGTGGGGTTGTTGGCACAGGCCCTGACACCTCCATGCCTCATTTGTTGGGAGTGAGTCAGATCTCTATGTACTGATGAGGAAAGATATTCGTGTTACACTGATAAATCAAAAACTAGAGTCTTAACTGGATGTGTATTTCATGGTCTGATTTTAATGAAAACAGCTATTTGTAGCTATTTACTTGCAGAGGTAACTGTAAAATCTTCTAGAAGGTGACACCTCAAACAATGTTTAGAGAGTAAATTTGGAGGGATAAAGGGGGAATTTTCACTATGGCAGCATATTTTTTTAAATGGGATGGGATGATGGGATGTTGAGCATTTTTATTTTTCTGCATTTTTTTTTCGATAACAGGAATAATAAAATTACATTTCAAACAAAAAAACAGGACTCCAATCTGATAGCTCTTGTCCAGGTTCATAGTCGGCCTGGCTCAGTGCCCAGGCTCAGCAAGCACTTGGCACCTGCTCACGGGATATATTCATACGGGACATGCTTGGAAACCATCAGTCTCTTCCAATTCTTCCAGTCTGTTGGCTTTCCAATTGAAGGAGAGGGAAAGCACTCATAAACACATACAGGAAACAAAATAATTAACTGAATTCTGTCTGCCTCGGCCTTCCACTTCATTTGCATAATCAACAATGTTTACTGAATACCTGCTGTGTGCTGGTTACAGCTATTGGGACACAGCTGTGACCTAGGAGATGTGGCCTTTGACATAATGGCAGAGGAGATAAACAATAAGAAATATTCTGGCAGAGGAGATAGACAATAAGAAATAAGTAAACTGATAGCCGTTCAAGCACAAAGATGGCAAGTGCCATAAAGAAACAGAACAAAACACTGTAATAGAGAGTTACAAATGGGGCTATGGCCTAGGAACTAGAAAGAGCTTTGTTCTATGGATCCTAAAGAACTGAAGGAAGCTGGGAGCCCCAGAGCTGCTGTGAGCTGCTGTCTTCCTGAATGTCACTCAGTACAGCTGGACTAGACAAGCCCCCATAAATCCCTCATTCCAGTTTCCTGATTCTGCAGCCTGGAATAATGATAACAGTCATCCCCTAAGCGCCCCAGCAGAAAAGTGTTTGCAGGCATTCCTAGGGAAGGGAGGCTGTACCTGTGCCTGTGACCCTGTGCTGCCTGCAGGAACCCAAGCATCTAATCTTGCTCTGGGCTGGTGCAGGAGAGCGTGGAGGGAGAGCAGGAAATCAGATGTCTGTGTTCAGATGAAGCTTCTTGCAGCTAAGGCAGCCAGAGCAGGCCCCAGGGGGATGGCATGTTTTGTGAGGAAAATATTCTCTAAGAACAATGTTTATAAAACTCTGTCTCGGCAATCATCCTGTGTCTGCCAGCTTCTGTCTTGCTTCTGTTCATGTTCGTTCTTTTTCTCTCTGCAGGCCGTGGAGACCAACCTGGCTTCCAAGGACAGCCACTGGGTCTTTGTGAATGAGGTAAGGGCTCTAGAAATGTGATGAGCAAGGCCTGGACTGAGCCCCTAGCCCCTTGGTAAAGCTCAGCATGATCCTTTTGGGTTCAATTCTGACTTAGGGGGCTGTCGTGAATCCTGGGGCTCCACCTAGCCCCAGGAGCTCAAAGAGTTGAACTTGACCTAGCAGGGTGCTCACCTGGCAGATGAGAACCAGAGAAAGAATCCTGACCCAGGTTCATGAGGAAGTCAAAAGTCAGAGGGCAGTGGTGGCAGGGATGAGGCGTGCTAGGTGAGGTGAGGCAGCCAGTGGGAGCCAGGGGCTGGAGCAATTAGGGCAGGTCATGAATTGGGATGCAGAGGTGGTGGGGCAAAGGAATGAGTAGGGGAGGAAGGCTGAATTTCATGCAGGATGGTAAGGGTGTGCATGAGTGTGAGCGAGAGTGTGTATGCAGGGTGTGCACATGCATGCGAGAATGTGAATCCAGGTGTGTGTGTATGTCTGTGTTAATGGTGTGTGTGTGTTTATGAGTTGTGTGTGTAGGTGTGTGTGAACATGCATGTGTGTGGATGTGTCTGCATGAAGGTGTGTGTATATATGTGTCTATGTGAAGGTGTGTGTATATATGTGTGTGGATGTGTTTGAGTGTGTGACAGGTATGTGCATGCATGTGCAAGTGTGTGTGTGTGTGTGATAGTGTGTGTCTTTGTGTGTGAATTGTGTGTGTTGAGTGTATGTACAGGGGTGTGCATGTGCAAATTTTGTGTGTGCATGTGTGTATGTATGAGTGTGTGTGCATGAGTGTGTATATGTGTTTGTGTATGTATATGTTTGGGTGTGTATGTATGAAAGTGCATATATCTGTATATGAGTTTGAGTGCTGTGCTGTGTGAGTTGTATGTGCCTGTGTGTTTGTGCATGTGTGTGTAAGTATGTTTGTGTGTGCAACCAGTACGTGTAGGGATAAGTGTACCCATGTAAAGGGAGTAAATAGGAAGTCTCTCCCATGACTGACCATCCCACCAGCTTGGCCCTAGGGAGGAATGACAACACCAGGGATCATGGTGGCCTGGCCTGCTCTTCATTACTTGTACCCTGTCTGGCCCTAGCCTCCTCCATGCTGCAGGCATTGCATGAGAGTGGCCTGAAATCGCACACCCTAGCTTTCCCAAAGAATCCCCTCTGCCCACATGTCCTTTCAGGAGCACTGACTTGGGTGGCCTGTGTGACCTTAGTGAGCTATATTCACTGACAGCAGACTCAGAAAGTGTTCTTGGTGCAAGATTTCATCATGGCTCATCATGGCTATGGCCTTCAGCTGCTCCTAAATTAGCTGATCAATTTCTAATGGCTTCATCTGGAAGATGCAGGTTTATTATGTAGGCAATTCATTCTTTTATGATATCTGTTTCCTCATTAGTTCTTTGCTAATATGTCTGAAATAGTCTTGGGTGGCTTATTTTAATAATTGTGCAGGTAGTATCAGATTGTAACTACTTGCAAAGTCCACTTTTCATAGATTTCCCTTCATGAATTCACATCTTATTAGCTCCATGTCCACAGACGCCAGTTGGGGACGTGTAGTAACTGTCCATTTACTGTGGGGTGCAGGTGGTTGTGCTGGTAATTAGAAGGGACATGACTGCCTCCTCCTGTTTTCAGAGCTTGTGAGAGGCTGCCTTGATCCTTGAGAAGTTTGAATTCTCTGGGGTTTGCTGACTTCTCTATGGTTCTTCACAGTCCAGTTTTCTTTGTTCCAAAGAAACGATGCATTCCTGAAGTCAAATGTCTGATGCTGGTTTTACTTTTTTGATGAATCCTCCAAATTGGATAGCCAGTGTTTCTCTGTTACCAGTCTTCAAAAGAATTGCTCTGCTTTTACATTCCTAACCTGTTTTCTTTTCTTTCCCCAAATCCCCACCCACCCTCAGGGGCCACCTGTCTGTCCCTCTTGATTCACTCTTCAGGGCTGGAGTTAACTTCAGACTAACCCAGTGTGCGGTGCCCCTAGGGCATTCCATACTGGTAGGCACATTGGCATTACTGGGGCAGTTGGAACCCAGGGCTGAGTGTCATCAGGAGGAGTCAGATATGGGGTATACCTGTTGGAGCCACACTGGAGCGGCTTAGAGAGGATGGCAGTGTTGCACCATAGCCAGCTGTGTACCCTGCGCCAGCCCGGGAGCGCACATGGATGGTGCGAGTATCTCTGAGCTGAGTGTGTCTTCCTCCAAATGTGAGGGGCCTCCAGGGAGCCCCAACTCCCTCCTTTCTTGGCTTCCTTTTCTGTGAGGCAGGGGACAACATCTAATATTTCTTATTTTTATTTTTTATTTTTTGAGACTAGAGTCTTGTTCTGTTGCCCAGGCTGGAGTGCAGTGGTGCGATCTTAGCTCACTGCAACCTCCGCCTCCCAGGCTCAAGCAATTCTCCTGCCTCAGCCTCCTGAGAAGCTGGGACTATAGGTGTGTGCCATCTCGCCCAGCTAATTTTTGTATTTTTAGTAGGGTGGGGTTTTACCATGTTGGCCAGGCTGGCCTCGAACTCCCGACCTCAAGTGATCTGCCCTCCTTGACCTCCCAAAGTGCTGGGATTACAGGCATGAGCCACCATGCCTGGCCAGCTAATATTTCTTAATCACCTACTATGCGCCAGGCACTTGTCACTGCATTTGTTACCCTCCTAGTCCTCATCAACAGCCCAGTGTGGCAGTTATCCTCATTTTGCAGATGGGAAAACGGAGTCTCCAGAGGTTAAATCACTTGCCCAAGGTCATGCAGCTATTAATGGTGTATCTAGGATCCTATTTGAGGATCGTCTGGCTCCAAAATTTTTCCATCAAACAGTAGCTTCATGCACATGGCCTTAGCAAAGATCCCTAACTCACTGTCAGTGTCTGATTCAGTGAAGCCAGTCAGTGGGGGTCAGGTATATACACTGACAGGGAATACTCTTGGGCTGGCCTTTGGTGCCAGCTCATGGACTTTTTTTGAAGTCTTCTATCAGAAGGTAGGGCCTGTTGGAAAGCTTTTACCCAGGCACTCCAGGGTAGCCTCTGGTTAAGGACTGAGGTGTTTTCCAAATTACATGTAGGCTTATCCTTAGGATCCGGCTATATTCAGGACTACTGTTTCCGGTTTCAGCATGGCCCCAATTGAACACAAAAGTCCTGTTATTATTATTACAATGTGATATCATTTTAGGCTTTGCCCAATTTTTAAGCTATCCAAGTATAGAGCCACAGGCAAATGGTTTCCCAGCCACCTTCCTGTTTGTCTTATATAATGACTAGAGATAAAGTAAGGGGGAAAAAATAAAGAGAAAAGGAGAGTCAGGGGCAGGCATTTACTGGCTCACTTTCCAACATGCTCCAGAATTCAGCTGCTTCACTGGGTCCTTGCCTTCCCACTTCTTGAAACTGCTCCCCCACTTCTCTGGATTAAGTTCAGCTCCTCAAACAAGATCAGGTCTGTGCCTCCCCGACCACCGCAGGTGTCTTTGGGGCCTCCAGCATGGCCCTCTAGCTGTGCCCCCCACTCGCTCTCATTCCTTACAGGTTCTGCCTTTCAGTTTCCTTCTCTGTATTTGATTTGTTTTATGCATTTTCCTGGATTCAAAATAAACACTTGAGGGCACATGTTTTTATTTGCTTTCTTTATGCAGTGGTTTTCTAAATACACCTGCCCTCTTTCTGGTGAATATTGGTGCTACATATTACAGACCTGGTTTATTTGGAGAAGAAATAATTGGATGCAGAGGAAGCCTTGTGTGAGCCCTACTGACACCACTGGGCACCACTTTGGGGACACTGGAGAGCGGGTGTGTTTTTAGATCTGCTAAAAGTATTTAAAGAATATTTTAATTGACTGATTAGGTTGCAAATTACCTTAGAGAGGGTAGGGGATTCAAAAGAACTTGTGGAAAACAAAATGAACTGTTAGTCAAGGTGGCCACTGAACTGTGAGTCCCTTGAGGGCATGGCCAGATTCAGCTCATCACTGAATCCTCAATGCCCTGAATAAGGAATAGATTCTTCAAAGGTTTGTTTGAAGGCAGGTCGATGTACATAGTGTAGAGCAAATTGCATTGACAAGCATTTCCCTGTCTGCTCAGAGAAAAGACAAAGGCAACAATTAAGTCCTGAGTTTCAGTGATGGAAAGGACCTCTATGGGTCATTCATCAGATGTTGCCAAGTTCAAGCCCAGTCAGCCTTGACTCTGGATGAGGCGGGTGGCTTTTGGAGCCTCTTTAGCAGCTGAGGTAAAATGTTTCCTCTCCACGCATCCTCCAGCAGATGCCAGGAGAGTCGGGGATCCCTGTGGGTCTGGCCTTTTGGGAACTTTGTTCAGGGAATTCTCCCATACAAAAATCAGTATGACTCTCCAGCCTCTTGAAGAACCAAGGATGATGGGGATTGAAGCACTCTGTTTGTTGATGGGCAACTTCCATTGTTACATGAATTCTTCCAGACATTGAACCAAACCACACACATACTTTGGTGGAAATGGTTTAAGGTGCTTAACGGATGATGTGAGTATGCACACATAACCATTGCGCCTGGGTTTTATCAGAGAGTGAGGCTCTAAGAGGTGATCTGTGGGTCAGCAGGGGCCAGGAGGAGGTGACTTCTAAAAAGGGAGGAGGTATAGTCAGCAAGCCCTTGCCACTTCTTCCCGATTGCCAGCGTATGTCGGTGACTCCACATCTCACGTCCATTCCAGACCTTGCCCTTGAACTCCAGATCCAGAGATCCAGCTTGACTCAAGATCCTCTTGACTTGGCCACTTGGAAGCTCCATCACCACCTCAAACTCAGCGTGTCTCTCTCCAAACTCACCATCTTCCCCAAACCTGGCTCTCTCTTGGTTCTCCTGATCTCAGAGACCACTGTCGCCATCCTTCTGGTTGGCTCCTCAGACACAGAAAAGACAAAGGCATGATAAAAGAAAAAGACTGTGATGTGAATGCTGAATCACATAGCTTTAAGAAATCTGCCCACATCATCCAGCCCACTGCAGCCCTCT